TTTTAATAGTTTTTTACAACTACACTCTTTGACCCTACAAGAAACAGTGAACAAACTCGATAATCAATTTAAAATATTTACACTAGTGGACACTACAAAAGCTTACATTCTACGTAATAGAAATAAAATAAACTCTTAAGTATTAGTTGAATCTACTATTTTGATGGGATAAGCATTCTATGAAACTAGTTTCAACAATCCAACCATCAAACTTGTTTGTATATACTCCGAGATCTCATACTCCAAAAATCATCAAAAATAAATGTTCGGATATTAGGTAACAGGATGAAATCCTTCTATGGTTAGAAAAGAAGAATCATGATTTTTGGTTACACACAAGTGAATTTTTGGTTAGTGAAGCAAGAAGACATCAATATGCTATAACCTTCTCCTCTAGGTGGTGCGATAAGGGGTCACTACTAGACAATATTACTTACCTACGAAATTTGGCCCAACAGAACCATATTTAGTTAGGTCAACTTATTTTACCTGAAAAAAATTCCGTTGGTCGAACAAAGCAAGTCAACATTTAGGATTTTGACAAAAGCATGGTGTAAGAAAATAATCTTGGAGGACAAGGATATTTATTTGTCAGGAAAACATTTGGTGCCAAGGGGAAAAAATGGTGTGTATTGTGTCAAATCTTGCCTGACAGACCATAACGGTTCCTTCACACAAGGGCTAGATTAGGTTTTAGGCTTTTGTTTCATCAGGTCAAGTGGATATATTCGTCAGGCAAAGTAAGAGATATGGTTGGCATATTAAATTCCTTCGATGACCTGCAGTCTGCAAATTCAGTTTCCACGACCTAATCGTCAACTTGTTTGTATATACTTCGAATCACATAGACCAAAAACAAATGTTCGGATATCAGATAACGAAACAAAATCGACGATTAAAAACTAAAAATTATGATTAACTATCATTTCACCTCTGATTTTAATATTTTTTTACAACTACACTCCTCGGCCCTATATGAAACAGTGAACAAACTCGATAATCAATTTAAAATATTTACACTAGTGGACACTACAGAAGCTTACGTTCTACTTAATGGAAATATAAAATAAACTCTTAAGTATTAGTTGAATCTACTATTTTGATGGGATACGCATTCTGTGAAACTAGTTTTAACAATTCAACCATCAAACTTGTTTATATATACTCTGAGATCTCATACTCCAAAAATCTTCAAAAATAAACGTTCGGATATTAGGTAACGGGACAAAATCCTTCGATGGTTAGAAAAGAAGAATCACGATTTTTGGTTACACACAAGTGAATTTTTTGTTAGTGAAGCAAGAAGACATCAATCTGCTAGGACCTTCTCCTCTAGGTGGTGTGATAAGGGGTCACTACTAGACAATATTACTTGCCTACGAAATTGGGCCCAACAGAACCATATTTAGTTGGGTCAAGTTATTTTACCTTACAAAAATTTCGTTGGTTGGACAAAGCAAGTCAACATTTAGGATTTTGACAAAAGCATGGTGTGACAAAATAATCTTGGAGGACAAGGATATTTATTCGTCAGGAAAACATTTGGTGCCAAGGGGAAAAAATGGCGCGTATTGTGTCAAATCTTGCCTGACAGACCATAAAGGTTCCTTCACACAAGGGCTAGATTTGGTTTTAGGGTTTTGTTTGATCAGGTCATATATTCGTCAGGCAAAGTAAGAGACATGGTTGGCATATTAAATTCCTTCGATGATTTGCAGTCTGCAAATTCAGTTTCCACGATCTAATCGCCAAATTGTTTGTACATACTTCGAATCACATACACCAAAAACAAACATTCGGATAACAGGTTACGAAACAAAATCAACGATTAAAAACTAAAAATTATGATTAACTATCATTTCACCTCTGATTTTAATAGTTTTTTTACAACTACACTCCTCGACCCTATAAGAAACAGTGAACAAACTCGATAATGAATTTAAAATATTTACACTAGTGGACACTACAAAAGCTTACGTTCTACTTAATGGAAATATAAAATAAACTCTTAAGTGTTTGTTGAATCTACTATTTTGACATGATACGCATTCTACGAAACCAATTTCAACAATCCAACCATCAAGCTTGTTTGTATATACTCCGAGATCTCATACTCCAAAAATCACCGAAAATAAATGTTTGAAGATTAGGTAACGGGACGAAATCCTTCGATGGTTAGAAAGGAAGAATCATGATTTTTGGTTACACACGAGTGAATTTTTGGTTAGTGAAGCAAAAAGACATCAATCTGCTAGGACCTTCTCCTCTAGGTGTTGCGATAAGGGGTCACTACCAGAAAATATTATTTGCCAACGAAATTTGGCCCAACAGAACCATATTAAGTTGGGTTAAGTTATTTTACCTGACAAAAATTCCATTGGTCGGACAAAGCAAGTCAACATTTAGGATTTTGACAAAAGTAAGGTGTGACGAAATAATCTTGGAGGACAAGGGTATTTATTCGTCAGGCAAACATTTGGCGCAAGGGGAAAAAATGGCACGTATTGTGTCAAATCTTGCTCGATAGACCATAAAGGTTCCGTCACACAAAGGCTAAATTAGGTTTTAGGTTTTAGGTTTTAGGGTTTTGTTTCATTAGGTCAAGTGGATAAATTCGTTAGGCAAAGTGAGAGACATGGTTGGCATATTAAATTCCTTCGATGATTTTGCAGTCTGCAAATTCAGTTTCCACAATCTAATCGTCAACTTGTTTGTATATACTTCGAATCACATACACCAAAAACAAACGTTCAGATATCAGATAATGGAACGAAATCGACGATTAAAAATGAAAATTCACGATTAACGATCATTTCAGCTCTGATTTTAATAATATTTTACAACTACACTCTTCGACCCTATAAGAAACAGTGAACAAACTCGATCATCAATTTAAAATATTTACACTAGTGAACACTACAAAAGCTTATGTTCTACTTAATGGAAATATAAAATAAACTCTTAAGTGTTTGTTGAATCTACTAATTGTACATGATATGCATTCTACAAAACTAGTTTCAACGATCCAACCATCAAACTTATTTGTATGTACTTTAAGATCTCATACTCCAAAAATCACCAAAAATAAACGTTCGGAGATTAGGTAACGGGACGAAATCCTTCGATGGTTAGAAAAGAAGAATCACGATTTAACGATGATTTTAGCTCTGATTTTGATGATTTTTTTTATACCCTAGAAGAATACAATGAATGACTCAACCATCAATTTAAAATATTTACACTAGTAGGTACCACAAAAGTTTACGTTCTACGTATTGGAAATATAAAATAAACTCTTTAGTGTTTTTTGAATCTATTGTTTTGATGAGATAGGCATTCTATGAATTAGTTTCAACAATTCAACAATCAAATTTGTTTGTATATACTCGAGATCTCATATGCCAAAAATCACCAAAAACAAACGTTTAGAGATTAGGTAACAGGAATAAATCCTTTAACGGCTTTAGAACCTGTGATTTTGATGATTTTTTCTTTTTCTGAACAACGATAATTGAGAGTAAAACCACACACTGAATTGACCTGACCATCATATTTGATGATCTTTAACTGTTTGAAATAAAATAAAATTGTCGTCTTTGCCCGACGAATTAGGTGCAAGTAGTTGGGCAAATTACAAAGATTCGTCGGGCCTCACTTCTAAATTAGCGGATTGTTAATTGACCTGTCGCTTTTAACCCCTTTGATCAATACGACATGGTTTTATCCCCCTGTAACCCTACTTCCTTCCTTCTTTGTTTTTCATGTGTGTATGTGAGAATCAGACACGAACAAACTAACAGGAAAACCGAAACCGAACCAAAGAAAATAAAACCCCAAAAAAAAAAAAAAAAAAAAAAAAAGAACTAAAAAAATGGAAAGAAAAACCAAACTGAACTGAACCGAATAGTGACTTTAGTTTGCTTTTTGGTTTTGGCAAAAGACTAAACCGAACGGAACCGAACCCACATCTAGAATCAATAGTCTACTTTGGTGTATCATTTGGAGCCATTTTTCTACCTCTTATCGTAACGTAAGAGATGCATTAAAAGAAAAACGATGAGCAATGGATGTTACTTTGATGCAAAAAAGAAAATAATTCGAAGTGGAAAGTCTCCTCTAACTCGAGAGGCTTAACTACTAGCCTACTATTACTCGTACAATTTTGTGATTGGATTCATGCTTCTTGTGAAGCATTAGTACGTAGCAATCTTAATTAAATTAACTTTGATTGCATCCTTTAATTTGAACATGTACGTAGAACCGCAGTAACAAATAGCCGTGATTTCGTGTAAGAGCAACATTACGCAACTAAGATGACGATCAAGAGTCAAAGTTAACAACACTTGCCACAAATGAAGAGCTGCTCGCATTTCTTCTTCATGCTTGAAATGCAGCTTGAGTAACTGGTCGGTCGTCAGCCATTGAAATTTGAAACAAGCTCCACGGCCAATTCCAAGGGTATACGTTGGACCAGCGAGTGTTGGCATGTTCAAAACTTCATCAGTATCCGATCACTTCTCAGCCACCTTCCTAAAAAAGCCGACCTCGACCTTTATCGGTTTTGCAATGATGTTACCCCTTGATCTGTTCTTCCCTTTTCTTGATTTCATTTCAATTTTTGTTTGATTAAGATTGGGTATTATGTGTTCATATTAGAACTTTATCAAGTTTTTTTCTGCTTTGCTGCAGATATGGAATGATAGCAGATTATTGTATTCCATGATGTACATATAGTAGCAACTTGTATTTTTATTTCGTGCACCATATCAATATATTGACATAATAACGTCACAATATCAACATGTATCGACACAAAACTGTCACCTATATCAATATGATAGCCATCGTATTAACCACAAGTATTAGAGATGCAAGGAACTAGTTGCATAGCTTCGTAGAAAAGCTCTTCCCAGTATCAAATGCAATTAGCTTGAAAGGCTCTTCAAGGTAATGTGTCAATTTAACCAATAGAATGACATCATCATGCACAGAAATCAGTCTGGTGGAAAGCAAGGATTCGAACCTTAATCTTCTCATGTAGATCTTATAACGTGCATCGCTAAATACAAGTTGAGAGCCCTATCAATTTCAGTCTAAGTACACTCAAGTATTCATTCAAACTGACGGTTTTTATTACAACTGTTGTAGCAAAAGTTGTTACAACGGTATTAAGAACCTCCATCGGAAATTGAATGCTATCTATGTGACCCCAGGCGACTTTATAGTGGCACTGAAAAGTATGCTAGGTTGTTACTTCTAAGGATGTAAAAGTAGCAATATGTAATCCTGCTCTAATGTTCTGCTGTTGTCATGACCTACTTCTCAGGGGACTCTTTAAAAATAAAACGCTCAGAGAGCGTCAACATGCCATATCCATTCAGACCGACAAAGGATTTAGAAATGTAGCCCTCGACTAAATTCATTCCTATTTCAGATTCAGATGGCTTGTAAATCCAAACTTGACATGGTTTCATAATTGATTCTAACCTGGAAAACTTCTGAAAACTCATGGATCAAAGATCTACAAGTAATATCAAGTAGCTGGCCATCATCGGGATCAGGTAGATCTGCTATTCCACACTCTGCAGATGTCTGAAATTCCTCAAGCAAGCCTTTAATGCTTCCAACCTGATAGCCTTGTAACCCACAAGGTACAATCCAACGAAAAGGGGTCAAGTCTGTATTCACATTCACTGCTAAGCCATGATATGTTATCCACTGTTTGACTCGTATTCCAATGGCTGCCAGTTTCTGGTTTCCTGAAGAAAAATTCAAATATAAACATCACAGGAAAATTCCAGCTGCCAGTTTCAATACCAATATTCTTGGTTTTTAAACTTTTTTTCAACATGACTAAATTAAGAACAAGGAACCACTACTTGTAAGGAAGTTATGAGAGCAACAACCCGGTATTGGCAATGATAATAAGCTATAATACAAAAGGAAGGAGACAGCATGCCTTTGTTTTAAGATGCATACCATACCAAACACCAGTGAGGCCCTCAAGCCGAGATGCCTTGATACAGAATGTCTTTGAAAGAGCACGGATAATCACCTCCTCAAGTGACCTGAGGTACCAATGAAGATCCATCTTGTGATTTCGTAGATTCATAATAGGGTACATAACTATCTACAATGAAAAACGTATGCATCCAAGGTTAGAAAAACTGACCCTATAAACAATTAAGTCACATGTTCAGATTTTGATTCCTACTCTATCACGATGGGCTAACAAGTTCAAATTACAATGGCAACATCTTCGAAAACATATAAATGTTTAAATTCAGGCATTGAAGTACCTGACCGGGACCATGATATGTAACCTCGCCGCCACGTTCAGTTCGATAAATGTCGAACGGAGCATCCTTGATATCAAAATTAAGGAACTGTTCTGAACTAGCAGTTCCCAAGGTATACACAGGACGATGCTGAAGGACAAACAGTGAGTCTGGGCAATGCTCATTCCTCTCTATCAGAGTTTTTTTATCCTCAACTATGCTCTTCTGCCAATCCCATGCCTGACTATAAGCAACCTGCTGCTTGTACATATTGAAGCACTCACACCTGCACAAGTCCGAGTTGACCAGGTGGGTTCCGTGGGACATTATGAGTATATGAAATGATTTGGAAACTCACTCTCTTGTTGGCTCGAGAGAATAAAAGGTCGACTGCTGAGTTTTAAGATCTGAAACTTGATTCGATTTTGATAAGATCCGCAGAGAGAAAGACCGAGGAGGTTTATGTCGACGCTTAGAGATTGGGTATGTTGGAACAGCGGCGACACAATGAGTCACCCCAAGAGTCATACTTTAGGTGGTGTTTGGGCTCCTACAATGAAATGGACTGGGAAGGAGAACGTAGTTGGGAAGGCAACGGAAATTTAGAAAAACATGATAAACATGCACAGTGCAGCCAACAATACATTCACATTGGTCGAAACAATATTAATAAAAAGCATTACATTGCAATTGTGGTGCATACAAAATCTGTTACAGTTGACAACTTACAAGAAGGAGCTAAAAATATATATGCAAAGGTTGAATCTGACAGTCTGTTCCCAATAAACTAATACTTTGAAAGCGTTTTGACATTGATATTGAAGTGAATCAAACTAATATTTCTTGTTGGAAGCTTAGAGGTGAAGTTAATCTAACGAAGATAGGTTGAACAAATTCAGAAGTGTTTTGATTGATTCCATATGAAACAAAGGCACAGAATTTGCATTTGTGGAAAGAACAATGACAACAGCAGCATACCTCAACAAGAAGGAACGAGCCAAAGAAAGCACCTAGCCCAGTGACCTGTCATTCAGAGAATTGAATTGAATTGAATTACAACCCCAAATTGAGAAATTACCGAAACTGATTGAATCTCTTACGCTGTGAATTGTGATCCTCCTTGTCAACGTCGCAGGGACACAAGCAGAGAGAAGTTTTTCAGCCGTTTCATCGAACCCAGACAATCATAGCCCTCCATTTTTCGTACCACTGGAGAGGAGAGGAGTCGTCGAGGCTGCGAGCCTGCGAGCAACGGAGAAGTTTTCAGGGCGTCGGGTTATCTAATACGAAGACTCGGATATTATTTTTTCCAAGTATTTAATTATTTATATTATAACACCTGGTTTATTTAGTTGTATTTGTGATACATCACAAAAATCTCATATTTTTCTTTCAGCACCCAAGAGTTTGGCTTTTACGATGGAAATTAGACGGTGCTTAATTCAAAGAATTTTTAAGTATAACCAAAATTATTTATATTATAGACATTTTAATAAAAATTAATTAATATTAAATTTTTTTAATCAATTAATTATAGAATATAGATAGTAAATTCATAAAGTTTTTCGTCGAATTCTTTTATATGCTTTTGTAGAGTATGCTTTTGCATAGGTTTTCTATTTATCAGTGGCATTCTTCCTTGTTGAGGTCTCTTAAGCGATGGGCTCACAATTTTATATGGTCAGATGAGGTGACCTCAAAGAAGATTGTCATGGTTTCTTGGTCACAAATTTGTGTACTGAAAAATGAGGATGGTTTGGGATTACGTGATCTTTGCTCTCCAAATCCTATTGTTCTCTTAAAACTTGGATGCGTTATTATTACTTTTGATTCTCCATTGAGTGTTTATTTTCAAGAGCGATTCCAGCTACATGGTCGTTTATACTCTTCTTGTTACAAACAATCTTCTATATGGCCTGGTTTTAAATCCATTATTCATATCTTATTTCATTATTGTCGTTGGATGGTTGGGAATGGCTATAGTACCTCTGTTTGGGTTAATATTTGAATATTGGGCATTAATTAAGGAAACCCAAATATGCCAACTAAAAGGGAGACTTGCCTGAAGCCCAGCATTGAACCCAGAAGCAAATTAAAGCATTCTCAGCCAAGATACAAGCCACTTGCCTATAATTGAAATGACAAGTGATGAAAACTAACCTACTATCAGCCAAAGAACACTTTCCAATGACATTGTTAGTAAAAAGTCGATGACTCGCTACCCTCTAAGTGCTTTCAGGTAAGAGCAAAAGCTACAATAGTTGGGCCAAATTGTCTATAAAAGGGAAGGCAGGCCCCAGAGACAAAGCCACTTAAACAACCAATCAAACAAACATACAAACTCTGCTCTCAAGCTAGATTTGCATTCGAAAGCTGAAATCAACCCATATTCAGTCATTTTAGCAATAGTTTCCTTAGAAAGTTATCTTTTGTCTAGTGTAAAAGCTCTGCTACCTCCCTCAGTGTTGTAGTATCGATTCCCTTTTTAGCATACAATCCCTGTAAATTCAAAGAGAAGTGACTGCAAGAAGTTCAACCTTGCTAGACAATGTTAAATCTTGCCCGAAGCTCTTCGTTCGTTTTCTAAATTAGTAGATCTATTGCTTAATGCATTCTCCAGCATGTATTCAAGTTATTTCCACCTGTTTTTCTATTTTAAGAGTCTCATTTGCATCTGGATCTGGTTAGCTTAATGGATATGTTTTCATTAAATATCAGTTTAGGATTAAACGAATAACTTAAGGGGCTCTGGACTCCCTTCATTCAAACATGCAAGACCATGAACTAAGACTCCTTATTTACAAGGCGAGAAAAAGAACTTAATACAAACTTAACCCATATGTGACAATTCTTTGGTAACAAGAAGTTGGAGTAACTTGGGGCGCAAGTAATCAACTTAAAACACACTTGTTGAACATCTGCTATATTGAGATAGCAGTGGCACGCCTAAACATTTAGTTAGTTTTGATTTCAAGCCCCAAGACCTACACTTAAGGCCCCACACAGGCACCTTTTCATAACTAACTTTAAGCTCTTATTGCAGCACACTAGGCAAGCAAGAGCCTGACTACCAAACATATACATCTAAAGTGCCAATCCCTTGGGGAGCTGTGCTAAGGTCCAAGGAGCCTTCTCTAGAGAAATCTTTGCCTGAACATAGTTTTGTCACACGCCCCGTGGGATCATATTAGTCTTGTATGCCAAGAAGGAGAAGGAATGAGCGAACCTTCAAGTGGAACATAGAATACAGGCCACCCTAGTGTCTACTAAGATCAAGCATGACAGGCCATCCAGAAGATTTCCCTTCCCTACGAGGACCAACTACTTTGGAGAGTCTGACTGCATCTAAGAAGTCAAGAGGAAAGGTAACTAATGAAGACTTATAAGCCACCATGGTGCAAGTGTTGAAAAGTATGGAGAAGATTACTTTGGAAACCAGAGGAGAAGTAAGTAGACTCTATTCCTTAAAAGGAAGTCTACAAAGAAGATTAGATCTGGAGTACTTTACTCCAAAAAATGGTTATGCCAAGGAAAGGATAAGAGAAGCAAGCCCTGCTGAAAAAGAACCCATTGTGCCCATATTTCCTTTGCTTGAGGAAAAGAAAAATAAAGGGAAAAACAAGGAAGGATCTGGAGTTAGTCAACCAGTATTAGAAGAGATCTTGGAAACAGAATTGCCCGACCCTCTATTATTTTCACTAGATAGTAGGGGGCAAAGCGGGCAAGAAAGAAAGAATTATAGGATGCCCCAATTAATTGGAGAATCTAGTGGGAAAGTTGAGCTCACAACTGTGGACAAACCTCCCCCTTATAGGCTACCACCATTGGCTAATAAGGGAAGAGGGGCCAGATCGAGGAAGGCTGAACTAAAAAAGGAAACTTTCTCGAGCAATGATCGAAGCCCGAAGTGGGAACCTCCTAATACCCCACCTAATAATATAGCCAACCATCAACTCAGAGAAGAGTTAGTCGAACTAAGGAGGATGGTGGTCCAGAATGCTCAACCTTAGGCTCGCCCACTATTTAGGATCACCGACCAGAAGCCATATCCGAAGTATATTGATGAACATAATTCTTTTCCCCTCAACTTTAAGATGCCCGCGCTTCCCATTTTTAGTGGAGAATATGGCAGTGTGTCCTCTAGAAATCACATTTTCAAGTTCTCCAACCATTGTGTGGCATTTGAAGACAATCTTAACTGTAAGTTAAGATTGTTTGGGAACTTGTTGGTTAGCCTAGCATCTCGGTGGTATTCTCTGTTGCCCCTCAATTCTATTGCTAACTAGGGGCAAATGGAGATGGCTTTTCATGAACAGTTTTATACGGTGGAGCATGAGATGACTATGAATGATCTAGTGAAGGTGAAACAATATGAGCACAAGTCTACAGAAGACTTCATGATGAGGTTTAGAAAGACAAAGATGAAGTGCCAATCCCTTGGGGACCTATGCTGAGGTCCAAGGAGCATTCTCTAGAGAAATCTTTGCCTAAACCCCTTTCAAACTTTTAATAGTAAAATGTTTAATCCAACCAGTCAAGGATCAGAAAGTGGTGATGAATAATGGTGGATTTATCCCTATGAAGCCCCTTAAATACCAAAGTTATTCTTTGATTTAACAAAGGCCTCAGAAATCTATGAAAAGTTGGTGCAGGAAAAAGTAATTGTGCCCGACAACACCAAGAATATGCCTAACTAGAAGAATTAAGAGGAAAAAAGTATTGCAAGCTGCATTATACCTTCAACCATTCCATAACTAATTGTGTCCAGTTCAGGGACTGGATACAAGACCTTATGGTCAAAGGAAAGTTGCTCTTAGAGAAACCTCAGGCTAATATGATGACTTACACATATCCCTTCCCAGAGGCCCCAATAAACATGATTAACTTGATTTGGGCTGAGAAGGGAAAAGGAAAAGCCACTTGGGAAGTAAAGGTAGAAAGAAGGCAAGTTGACAGGCCTATAGAATGAGCTATCACGTTGCCCGAGAAACCCAAAACAACCATAGTTAAAGGGCTGGTGTTGTGTAGCAAGTGTCAATTTGTATGTAAGCTAGAAGCACCAGCATTAGGAGTTATTATTGATCAAGAGTGAATCAGAAGAAGAGAGACGAAATAACAAAGAGCCCGTAGAAACATCATGTAAGCTACTGAGGAGAATGTTTTCCAAAGATTAGGAAGTGATTCTGAACCAAAAAACTTGTTCGAGGTATTTAGGAATCACGAAACCTCAGAAGAAGTGGAAGATAAAGAAGCCAAAATACCAAAATGGGTGGAGGTTAGGCCTCCCTAGCCAAGTTATGAAGGTAGTGACGTCAAGATGAAAGGAAGAACAAAGAGCATAGTATCCCCAGTCACCAAGAAGGATTCTGCCCGACTCGGGCGGAATGGTATGTAGTTGGAAAGGATGGGAGACCTGACAAGGAAATAGGAGCTTCTATGATTAGGAGAGTCCAAAGGTAACACAAAACCCATATGAAATCACTAAAAGTTCCTGCTACATCAGAAGCCTATGAAAATGTGAAGTTTGAAAAAGTGCCTCATGGCAAAAGAAATCAACTTAAATGGAGGAGCAAAAATGAGCTCAAAAGAGCTAATAGCAAGACCAAAGGGAAGAGAGATCATGTGCCACAAAGCCCTTATTCGGGAAAGTACAGAATCTTGAGGAGAGCTCAAGAGAATATGGTAATGATGCCAACCCCAAGATGGAGTCCAGAACCAATATGTTTTGGAACTATCTCGCCTGAAAAGAGAATGCCCTTAACTTTGTTGGTTGATACTCTTTGTGAAGTTCCAGGGCAAATGCCGAACTTTGGTAGAACTCGAGAATAAAGGTTGCCCAAGCCAATGTCGCCAAAAGAAGCATATACATGGTTACATGAATTCATGGACCATATTGGGGGCAAAAAAGAGGATTTACCTGAACCTAGCAATTCCACGTAAATATAACATATGTTCTGTCTGTTATGTTTTGCGCCAAGCCTAATCAACCTGCCACAATGGAGGGTGATTATTTGGCCACAAAACCTATGATGGCACATGTTAGCATTGAGGAAATAAGAAGAGATACGGGCAAAACAGGTTTGCTTGAGCTTGCAAAGAAAGAGCCCAAAAGGGTGTATTCATATAAAATGGTATTCAGCTGCCGAGTTTGGCATTGGCTAACCATCTCAAGCCTATATATGTAACTACTCATTTGGAGGGGGTACCCTTCAAGACGGTTTTGATTGATTGAGGAGATGCAGTCAATATAATACCATTAAAA